TCTCTCTCTCTCTCTCTCTCTCTCTCTCTCTCTCTCAAATTAGGAAGGGATCGTAGGGGTCACATTAGTGGGAGGATTTGGAACATTGAATATATTGGAACGGCTGTCATTTTAAGCTTTTTTCGGGCATGGGGAGCAGTGGAAGATGGGGCAGTAAAGCACGATGTCTTAAAATGTTCCTCGCACAAAACAAATTTCATTTTCTTTGTTTAGTTCTTCCGTCAAGGATGTTACAGTTTTAAGCTCCTTGTCCCAGCCCCATCCCCTTTTCCTTGCGTGGCCTTGCCATATAAGATTCTACAAAAAGAAACACCGCGGTTGGCGAGTTTAGACCATAGTCGGCGGCCATATTTACTCCCCACCACGGCGTGCCGCTCGTGGCGCCGCGAAGAGAGAGAGGAGGCTCCTTTAGTTTTAAGCTCCTTGCTTTCCGTCTAAACCAGCTCGTCTGCAATGTATCTCCCATCGCTTTGCTCGTGATAAAAAGGGATGACGGAAATGATTGATAGGCATCGTGTACTGACAAAGGACAGATTTTGTTTTGGTATAAGTACAAATTTATGTCAGGAAAACTCGCGTCTTTCCTAGGAGGTTCTTAATCTTACAAATGATTCGTTGCCAAGGGTGGTGTGGGGGAATACGCATAGCTCCCTGCTTTCGTCCTCCCTCTATCATTTCAGAGTCACACATTAAATAAATAGCACATCAAAGAAACAATCTCCAACATGTATAAAGGGTTTATTGTAAAATACCCACAATGTCAGATCATCCAAAAAACAACATGAAGTAATAATAACACATCTACTTCATAAGAATTTACATTGGACCCCCCCCCCCCTCTTTTAAAAATACCATCACTGCAAACAAAGAAGAAAAATTAAAAAAACAAAATGTGGTAATCGGAAAAGGGAAGTACATCTACTAAACCCACCGATGGCACCTTGTATTTAGACAACTTTTCCCAGACAACATATTATTTTTCACGAGTAGAATGCAAGCCACTTCTGGGATTTAGACTGGCATAATAAAAATTTAAAACCTTAAGATCGATATTTAACTAAATCGAAGTGTGTTGAGTTTGCGCATGGAGTGTCAGTCTGGTAAAACCACAATCACATTATCATTATTTAGCTTCTGTATTTTTAGATTCGTCAAAATTATATTTTACTTAAGCAGGCAATCTTACTTCATTCTTTGAGGAATCGAAAAAGTACAATTAAAATTTGAATCTTTATTTCTGGAATTGATGTAGTTTACAGAAGAACACAACTGACACCTCAAATTAACTGGAGCCATGAAAAATGAAAATGCCTTGAACAATAGACACAATTTGTTTGTTTACCGCGCTTATAACCACGATCAGCTGGTGACCCAGATACAATGTACGCGCATCCGGGTGAAGTGACAGCTCTCTGGTAATACTGTAAATCTCTCTGGTAAGAACTCAACTTTTAGCCTTAATTCTTTTCATTATTATTTTTTATTAGTAGGTTTGCCGACCTGAATTATAAGAAATTATATAATATCATATCCGCAATATCCAGAGAACACCCGTTTTAAGAGTCCACAAGGACATCAACAAAACTTCCTGGTTACCCCGCTATGTTTCCAGGCCAAGTTCGTCCTGTATCTCTCGAGCTGACTTGTTGTACGTTGTTATCAGCCGACTGACTTACACTGTAGCCTCCTCTCTGTGTCCCCAGCAGACGGCCAGGCAGACCTGCGGTGTGTGACACTGCGATATTATATGGAAAATTAGACTCATTCTCTGAGGGAGTCTACGAGGTAACTGGGGCCAGGAAACATTTACAGCTGCGATGCCTTTCTGAGCGGACCGGAGTGCGCGTTCCTCAAGTAATTGTTTAAGTGCCAATTCTCGGATCTTGGAACTCCTAGCCTCGGTGGATCTATCCAGTTTCTGATCAGACCAGACGTAGGACAACCAAGTTTCACGATGCCGCGTCTTATGCCAAGATTTGCCAGCAACTTTTACCAGTACCTCATCCGAACTGCGGAGAAGAAAGTGCCGCCAAAGTTGATGCCGATGTGGGAACATCCTGCAGGTTGGTAGATATTCTAGACATTCTATAGTATTAATGTTTTAATCTCACAACATCTGCACTATTGGGATTGTAGTAAGAAGCGCGCTGCTTCCACCCATCCTGAAGGTGCCAACTCGGGATTGAGTGGGATACAGTATCTCAGTAGAGAGTTGGGGACACTTTATAAAAACAACTAACCTACTTCGGAATCGAACTCAAGTTTTACGTATGCAATACATTAAAAATCCTAACAAGGGCACCACAGACGCTGTTGTTGGCAGACTAGCTAACTACATTGCAACATTCATTTAATGGCCTGAATGCCAATGATCACCAAATTTTAAAGTACAGTAGGCAAATTTTTCTATTGTCATCACATTGAAGATAATTTCACAACCGATTATTGTTTGTAAGACAAAAGGTGAGTTTTCGATTTGCTACCAGAAGCTGTTTGCTGTTGTTGTTGTTGCTGTTGATAATGTATTGCGTTATAAATATTATATTATTATGCACTTTTCATTTTCATCAAATTGTGTAATGCGCTATCTGGTGTCCTGGTGTCAAGTGGTGCTTCTCCTTTTCCCCAGTAGCTATCGTCTATATTTGACAGTGTCTTTGTGTTAAAAAGTCCCACTAAAGCACTCCAAAGGTCACGGATTTGTGGTCCTTTGCAAGACACTCAAATAACCCGAATGACATGTTTAGTGATAACATAGAGGTCGGCATAGACTTCTAGGCTCGTTTGTAATGAAACATTAAACTTGCAGGGAAGGAACTTCCATTTTCGTATGCGTTTATCCTTAATATTTGAATGAGGCGTATGTTGGGAAAGAGGGGGATTTTTTTA